GGTAGGCCCAACTGGAGGAATCATACAGGAACTGATTGTCGTTTTCGGCCTGGTTGCTGGTCGCGATGTTGGATTGGGATGGGTCGGTCTTCACACGCTGAGCGGCATTGTCGTCGATGAAGGGAGGCTGCGCACCGAGGTTGGAGTTACCAAAGCCATAAATGGCCCCAGAACCTTGGTCGGTCATGTTGCTATGGGAAGGATATGCAACCATGGGCTGACCACAGGCATCCAGCGCGACGGGGTCGTGGCCCAGAGATCCGATGGCCACAGGAGTGGGCGGGCAGAGGCGGGCAGAGGAAGGCTTGTCAAGCGAGGCGAGGCCAGCTGCAAAAGCGAGTCGTACGAGGTTGGGCAGAGATCTAGTGGGCTGCGGTAGATGATTGGGATGAGTATAGGCTCAAGGCAGGGAGTCGCGGAAGATAATCGTATGACGGTCGGGACGATGCTGTAGGGGCCGGGGATTGGCAAATGGATGGAATGTGGTCGTTGAGCGTGACGGGCGTGGAATAGCAGAGGAGGAGGTGCAGAGGACAGGAGTCGGAAGAATCTGGGACGGATCGAAACCGGGGGGGCATCGTACGATGTTGAAGCGACATGGGCTCAGCTGCGCCAAGCCGCTCTGGTTAGCCAGTCGAACCTGCCCAAGCTCGGTCACCAAGTGGGGGGGGGGAAGGCACCTACCTGCCTGTCGTCGCACAGGTCGCACCCGCCATACCCAATTTGCCATTTGGATAACTGATCTATGGGCCCACCTTAACCGTCTAACGGGGACCAAGCCGGCCGAACCACGGCACTTCCGGCCTGTTCCGGATGACTCAGCAGTCTACCATCCCTGATCCGTCTCCCTCAGTCCCGCTTCAGGACTGTCTCATCATGTCGATCTGTCCACCATCACGGTCATACCCGCCGAACAACTTTGACGGCTTTATATTCCTCTTTGTGCTGTTCGTTTGTTGAGGGTTCGCTCCAAATCCTACTGTCCTGAATCGACCGATTGTGTCAGACAAACCTTTGCGCCCCATGCTGTAATGGCCACGGTTTTGTTGGGTACTGTGGCTTGGTACCAAACCATGCACCTCGCTGGTCAGCAAGCCTTGATCAATCTGCGTAGAAGCATAAGTGAGCGTGATGTTGAACATGGTTTTAAGATATTAGGACTGACACACATTTAACGAAAAATCGAAGAGATGTATTCATTCAAGCAATCTCGGGCGTAGGATATTCGAGGATTGATTTTGCTACCCTTCAACCCACGTTCATGCCCTGCGCTTCCTGCAAGCAAACGCTGTTCTTTATTTCGACGCCTCTTTCGATCGAGACACGAGACTCAAGACATACATTCGTACTAACCAGTGCCCTCGTCGTGCTGCCATGGCAGACCAGAACATTGACAGTTACGTCAAGTGACTGCAGTCACTGTCTGTGTTGCGAATTCTAGCTTCATTTGATAGCAGCTCTTGAGCATCTTCATATTCAATCATCGATCCGTTCCAGTTGAACCTCCTTTATACCCGCCAAGTTCGTGAATGCATATATATGCTACCTTGAAAGTCAGTATGCTAATGGCTCCGCCGCCGGTAACGTGTGCACACCAACCAATACGGCTACGCCACCCGACTTGATTCAAGAAAGGCGGTCTACCTGACATGAGCCGTGAGGTGGAGCATTGTGTGTTTAATCGTAGAAAAACTTGTTTGCATCACTCAATGCTCAACCCGGGTACAGGTAAAGCTGGAACTCTGGGCAACTTAGACTGGTCAAAACTTGTCGTAGGAAGTACCAAGCAGGCACAATCGGCATTTACCTCAGGCAAGGCATATGAGGTAGGTAGCCAAAAGAGCCCAATCTCTGTGGGCTTATATGCCCATTGGGTCCCCCAACTACCACCCCTTTGGTCATCACATGACATCAGTTTGTCCACGTCATCTACCGACTTGCATGGCTCGCGATTTCGATCGATCAAACTCAAAGTTCTACTTGCATGGTCGCTTCTTCTCAGCAGCCCTTCGACAGCAACAGAGACTATTTACGCATGTGGCTACCTTTCCGTAGCCCGAGGCTTTGGAATGCACATCAGGCGCGCCAGCTCACACTGGGCTCTTCGAAATATTAGTTCTTCGACAACTCTTAGGAACCACAACGAGCCTGCCGCTCAGACTGTTCATCTTAAGAATCCAATCGGCAAGTTACAAAAGTCATCGATGAAGGATGTCTTGTTTGTAGGGCTCGATATCGATACGTGTCAAGGCTACGAGAAATTTGATTCCAGACCAGCAAATCCATATCGGGTTATCGATATTGGGTACTCGAATGCTGGAGGAATTCCTTCAAGAGTCAAGGCTAGATCAACCTTGCGGCCCTGCGGTCACGTCTTATCAATTCACTGGTGGGAATTCAGCGTACTTCCGACGAGCATTTATCAAACTTTTGTTCGAAAATTTCCAGCCCATCGCTCTTGGCGATGTTAAGCCTAAGTGTACATCTCTGATGGCTAATCGAGACGTAGTTGTGGTACTACATGGAGCCGATTTAGATGTCAAAATTCTTCGATAGCTCAACATCAACATCGAAAAAATGTCTCTCTATATTATAGAGACCAACAAGGTGGCGCAGTTCTCTCTCCAGCTGCACTACCGGCTGGGCTTGGAGAAACTACTCGATGCATTTCAGATACCATACGCGTATTTACATGCAGCTGGTAATCTGTTTGCAGGCTTTGCTCATACTTGCAGTCTGTGATGCGGAACTTCAACCATCGGGCTCTTCTTAGCCGTTACTCCAGATAGTCAGAGAGGCGGCACAAGCCCCAAGGCACCTCTCTACGGCGGAGATATCGGCACCGATAATCGAAGCTAGAAATCAGGCAAAGGGTGAGAGTCGTGCTAGGAGGAAGTTAAGACGGGCGGCCGGGACTCAGAGCCGAAGGGTAGGAAGACTTACAGGCAATTCTGATACAGTGCAAGCCGCGGACATTGAACCACCACGAGACATATCAAATGAGTCTCAGGCTACGACTTCGCGAATTTGGTCAAGTCACAGCATGTGGGTTCTTGGAAGTGAGGCGTTGAAGGTTGCGTAGCTAGCTGCGGTGGTTTTGGGCAGGATAACGGGATAGGTGGGTGCATGGAACAAACTTCCAGGGAGGCGTGGCATCCATCGTTCTATAGACGAAATTATCCTACGTTCAGGATTTGAATGCGTAACGGAAGCACTTCACTTGGCCCAGCAAGGACGTCGTTCTAATCAGGATAGTCTCACCACGACAACGCTGTAGAGCTGCGGCCTATGTTATAATCATACGAAACGCAGCAACGGAAACAGGAAGTGGCAGTGTGCCAATGAATCTATCGGTTTTAATCAAGGTACATGTCGCATTTGATAGAGCTGCGTAATCTCAACACCATAAAGTACTATCAGGATGTGTCACTCGTTCAGAGCGTGGTGTTGGGCAGAGTGAAGAGGTCTTGCACACGTGGTCCGCAGGCAATATATAATACGTATGGGTGTGTGATACATCTGAATTCTGGTCCCCCTCAACCAGGAGGGCCCTCCACAGTTCTCATATGTACGTTCTCGTTGTCCCTAGCCCCCACACAAGCCCCTCGCCCTGAAGCTCTGTAGGGGCCTCCTAGCCCGTTGTAACTAACATGACGTGGTGAAATCGTTTTCCTTGCGTCTCCTGATTGTTCAGTCCCAAAAGTTCTCTGATATGATCGGCCGTTCACCCTCGGAAACATATCTTCAGTTGTGTTCTGCTGTATAACATCATGATACCCGTTGGAGCCACCTAACTCCGACTCCACATCTAGCCAGCATTTCGTCTTGGCGCATGTCACCCAAACAATCGAGTTAAAGCCTTGGTGAAGAAAGGAGGCCAGAACAAGTCTGGCTCTTCGCTGGTCGAGTGGTTCGACATTAGGATAATTGTTGTACGTCCATATCTACTCTTGAGTTGTAGTTCAATGGAAAGAAGGTAGGTGGGCATTATAAATTATGGACAATACAATGAAAGCAGGAAATGAGAGCAGGAAAGTAAGATGAAGGGTGCGAGTGAGAAAGAAGCATACACGATGCAAGTTAGACCAGGACAAACAATTGATTAACGAATTCATTCACTTTCGATAGCTCTACAAGGTAGAGGGGAATGCCATTGAAGCAGTGGTGATAAATAGACGGAACGCCTGGAACTTGATTATCGACATCAAATCGAGGACGGTCGTGTGTTTACCGTATACTTCATACCAAGAACAAAATTCGGGAATATCAAACCTGGGCAGAGACGGCATTCATCATCCCACTTTGACGCTCAATCATTTCTGGCCAAGGTCTGGCCCCCCTCAAACACCTTGTGGGACAGCCACTCGCAAAATTGACGCCGATGGGTGCGGACTGAGATACCACAGACGTTCCAATAGGCTCCGGCCGGGAGGGGTTGATCCCGAACATGACATTGAAAGTTATTTTTAGGTGCATGCAGCTCATTCTTGTCGACTTCGCAGACGCCAACCAGCCCCTGCCGCTGTACCGACCCCTCCATCCAAGCGCCGACAGGAGAGGATCCCCGTCTCGTCGCCAGGTCCAGTTCGCCTCTGTGTCGTCCTTCTCCGCGATGCACAAAGTCACTCAGAAAAGGGTTTCAACCAAAAGACCAAGATATGCATGTACTGATGTGCATGTACTGTTCAAATAAAGCAAAAGAAAACCATGTCTTGAGACGACACGTTCCGTGGTATATCGACAAATAAGACCCCTCATGCACCTTCATCAACTCGCCTTTCGTGACGTGAGAACCCCTCGCAATGCAAGATGCCCCCGTCGTGACTCCCTCCTCCCTTCCCCTGCACCCAGATAGAGAGAGATAGTAAAAAAAAAAATACCCAGCCCGAGAAGGCATTGTTGTCTCACTGCCCGCTGCCGGATTGTCTAAATATCGAAAGCCTCGATGTCCCGTTTTATCCTAAATTACAGTCCTGCTCCCATTGTTGGGGGCTCCGCCGTTACCACACGTCCTCGCTGTCGCGCACCATTTCCATAGTCGGCGTCTTGGGCTCCAGACGCTTCATGCGCTTGCGATCCGCCTTGGACACCAGAGACGGTGTCATGGGGATACAAGGGGTGAAGGGCTGGTACGGAGAGTACGGCACTGCGGCTCCCGTAGCCGGCGTGCGCAGGCCGCTCGGCGAGAGGGGACCTGTGCGCTCAAACGTCGTCTGCTTGGTGTTATGTGCCACCATAGATGGAGAAGCTAGAGAAGGCTCGTAGGCGCGCAGGGGCAAGGCACCGCCGGTGCGAACGGCCGAGGGGGCGTTGGGACGCTGGAAGGTGGCGCCAGGCTTGGGTGAGGCCGGCAGCGTGGGGAAACGCGTGACGTGGGGCTTGGGGGATGTAGGAAGGCCGACAAGGGGCGTCTGGGAATGGTCGGATGCGGCCGAGATGGGATCGGCCTCCGTGGGGGCCGATGAGATAGTGCGGTGGTGGTTGCCGTGCTTGGGCGGTTGGCTGAGGGGCAGCTGGAAGCCGATGCGCTCGTCGATGCTCTGCGTGCTCTCTGGCGATTGATCGGGGGAGATGGGTGCGGTCTGCACCTGTCCTCGCTGGAGGGCAAAGGGCACCTGGTCGGTAGGGACCGGAGGTGGCGGGGGCGGGGCATAGTGACGAGGAGGGATGGTGTCCATCTCTTGAGCCTCATACCGGGGGAAAGTGGCGGATTTCGGGGTCATCATGGGAGACGAGATGCTGATGCCGCGCACCCCTGTCTTCTTCTTTGGGGGAT